ATTTGATACTGTATGTGTTCAGCGTCTGTTGTTCATTAAGATGAACTGTGCTTGTGAATTATTGATAGCTGCTCCCTTTAATTTCCCTGCCAGAAATTAAACTGGTTCATAAATGGGTTTCCACAGTTAGAAAAGAATGAGACGGCCAAAAGTATCAGCAATGGTGTCACTCTGTTAGTCAGAAAGAATGATAGATGTGTAACATTTGCTGCATAGAGTGAAGAAGGCTTCAATCAAGTCCCTTTCCAAGTATCATTTGCTGCCCGTTGTCCAAATACTATATTCTACCTTATCACAACAGGAAAAAAACATTTTGGTTCTGTCAGGTGTTGAAAAATAATTAATAAATAACATGATACTGTGCAATTATGTTGATAGCAATGTTCCCTTTATGAATGAAACTAGATGGACCTAGATGGTACTAAGCTAGGTAATGGAAATGAAAACTGCTAACACAGCCCCATTGAACATTCAAAATCCTCCTTGTTATTCAATTTTTATTTTTTTCCTTGGAGTGCAGAAGACCAAGGGGAACCTGAGGGAGGTGTACAAAGTTATGAGGGGCATAGATAAGTTGAATAAGAAGAAATTTGTCCCCTCTAGAGGGGTTAATAACAAGATGGTACAGTTTTACAGTAAGGATCAGGAAGTTTGGAGGGACTTTGAGAAAATCTTTTAGAATTTTGAATATTTTGTTTTCTTAATGGTAAGTAATTTTTGATTCTGTTTTGTTTAAAAATTGTGCTTGCAAAGGAATATGAAACAGGTTACAAAAGACTTTAGGTATTGAATAACAAACATTATACTCAAACAAGGAGATAGTAAGAACTGCCGATGCTAGAGTCTGAGATAACACAGTGTAGAGCAGGAGGAACACAGCAGGCCAGGCAGCATCAGAGGAGCAGGAAAGCTAATGTTTCGTTTCAGGACCCTTCTGAAGGACCCGAAATGTCAGCTTTCCTGTTCCTCTGTTGCTGCCTGGCCTGCTGTGTTCCTCCAGCTCCACACTATATTATACTCAAACAATCCATTTTTGGAGATGTCACAACTCGCAGCCTCTGTTCTACTTATTGTTTCATCTCCTGCCAAGATGCCAAGGTGACAAGGGATGTTCAATAATTTTGCTGCGTTGGCAAATTGCTTACTCCTGTTGTAGTGTGGATATCTTTTACTCTTGTGTGTTTAGTTTGAGGTATCTGCGCAGCCTACACATTTTGGAGGGCAGGTTGTCAGTTTTTTTTGACAAACATGTTCATAAAACGGTGTGAAGGAAAACAACGGATGCACATTCAATCTTCTTTCTGGAAGTCAGAATTAACAGAAAAAAAAGGAAAATCCATAACCCAGGCATTCAGATTTTAAAATAAAAGGACTACATTTTTGGCCAGGAGCTGGAACCAAACCATGGAGCGAGTCTAATCTTGCAGTTCAGTGTTATCTGGAGTGCATAGCATGTGCAAAACAGGCATGTCTACCCATGGTAGGGTTACAGTGCATGCTTTATTACCTTTGTTGAAGAAAAATGTGAGTTTGATGAAATAAGTAGAATTCCTTTTTTACTGCCCATGTTGGTTTGTTCTCTGTGAGATAAAATAGCAGAGTGTGGAGTCACCCATTTAAGACAGAGATGAGGGGGGATTTCTTCACTTATAGGTTTTGAATCCATGGAACTCTTTACTGCAGAGGCTGTGTTGTTAAGCATATTCGATGCTGAGATAGACAGGTTTTTAATCAGTAAGGGGAATCATGGGTTATGGGAGAAAGGCAGGAAAGTGGAGTTGAGGATTATCAGATAAACTATGATCTCATTGAATGGAAGAGCAGAGTCAATGGGCTGAATGGCCATTCTGCTTCAACATCTCAGGTATTTGCCTCACAAATACATTCTGAAAGACTGGAGAAAAATTTAAGAGTGTATATTTTAAGGAACCATACCCAATTCCAATCAGTTATAGTAACCTTCAGCTACTAAATCAAGTTCTTTTCTCGTTTACTCAATCTCCTGAGGATAAATGGTAATCATGAATATATCATCAATACTGATCAATGTGGTTACTTCCACCCTTTTCATTTGTAAAGCTTTTCAATTGTGTTTTCAGGAATTTCATACAGACCTAAACGTTTACACTGTGATAGAAAGTTACTTTCCAGGTTTGTCATCAAGCATCAGGCATTCTGTCAGAAAAGTGCCCAGTGACACTTGGAACAGTTTGTTTAACGAAGGCTCAGAGGGAATTCATGATCAAGTGCTTCCAGGGGCAGGGAGTAAGTCTTAAGCATATAGTCAATAATTTTCTGAACATCAATAATAATTGTTAGAAGTATAAATTGTTCTGAGATGCAGAGCTCACCTGGAATGATAGGCCATGTTATCCTGGTGCATTGGTGAAGAGTTTTCCACAATTACACTCAAAGGATATTCTCAAGCAGACAATTAATTTGTGAGGAACCTTTTCCCAAAAGGGAGTTGTAATGGAAGACCCATTGGGATTGCTTTGATGTTGTCGGAAGTAACCCAGTCAATAAGATTATGTTTACAAGAAGCACACACCAGGATGAATAACATTGAGCTTTAAATTGTGAAAGTATTGGCAAGCCTTAAATGATCCAGCTTTGTCAAAGAACAGGCTTTCACATCTCTGTCGAAGGAATATTTATCTTCATCAAAGATGCTACATAACTACAAATTGTGATTGTCCATTCCATGACTCAGCACTGCAGCTCAGTAGTTGGCACTGCTGTCTTACAGCGCTGGGGATCCGGGTTCAATTCCACCCTCGGGTGACTGTCTGTGTAGAGTTTGCACATTCTCCCCGTGTCTGTGTGGGTTTCCTCCGGGTGCTCCGGTTTCCTCCCACAGTCCAAAGATGCGCAGGCTAGGTGGATTGGCCATGCTTAATTGCCTATAGTGTTCAGGAATGTGTAGATTAGGTGGGTTTATAGGAGGATGTATCTGGGTGGGATGCTCTATGGGTCGGTGTGAACTTGTTGGGCCGAAGGGCCTGTTTCCACACTGTAGGGATTCTATGTGCAGGTTAGGTGGATCGACCATGCTAAATTGTCCCACAGTATCCAAGGATGTGCAGGCTACATGGGTGAGCAATGGGAAATGAAATAGATATAGAAATGGGGATAGGGTGGGGCTGGGCCTGGATGGGATGCTCGTTGGAGGGTCAGTGCAGAATCGGTGGGCTGAATGGCCACTTCCTGTACGGTACGGATTCTATGGTTCATTTAGAGAAATATGTAGTGTAACGTTTGGAATGAGGTATAAAAGATAATGATGCTTCAGTATATATTTCAGGACTGAACGTCTGAGAGCCAGAGAATCTGGATTTAAGGAAATTGGGGATAAAACAAAACTAAAAGTCACATAAGATGAAAGCTTTCTCCAACAAATAATTAGCATTTGGAAAAGTGTATTGTCTTTGAGTTGTGGGAACATATTCAAGGGTAGCTTTCAAAAGGAATTTGATAAATAGTTGAAGGAGAAGGACTCACAGGGATTTGGGAAGAATAAGATAAGATAAGGAACTGAATTGTTTATAAAACAACAGTGCGGACTCAGTGGACAGAATGGCCTACAACCCTCCTCCTTATCCAGTGGTTGTAAGATTAGGAAGTCATTGTTATTGTTTTTCAATTTTCTTTCTAATTACAAAATTACTCATTCTGCTATTTGTTTCAGATAAATATTTGAGGCTAAGGTCGTTTTTGTAACCTTGTACTGGATGTTTCTTCAAACAAAATGCAAACACAATGATATAAAATTCACCGTCTGCCCAAAAAAACCCAAAAGCAATACTTGCTCTCGGGTGAACAGCTCACATTGCACTTTGATTATGATCAAGATTAATAGCAGAAAGCCATTCTTGAGCATGTACAGAAGAAACACACCAACCTTGACCTTGCATGCTTGCAACCTGCTGTATTTTCCTCCATGGTTACAAATAACAACCTGTTTTGGGATACAGTTGTGCAAACAAAAGAGCACTACTTGAACAGAGACATTGTCCTTCTCATTAACACTGGATGTTATGTGACTGCTTTAGTTTTTGTGTTACTAGCACAATGAAGGGGTCTGATGTCAGCAATTGAAAATTTTGTGTTGTTCTTCCAAATTACAATCTTGCTAATGAGCGATTTTAGTGTTATCTCTCTGAGGCTGGACAGGATGAACAGTGTAATGGAGAAGGCCAATCTGTCAGGATTAAAGATAACTGTAGCTTTGAAATGCAAAGTGGTAAATTTCAATCTTTGAACGCAGAACTGGCATGAATGAGTGCAGCTCCAACAATTCTCAAGAAAATTGACACCGCCCAGAACAAAACAGCTAGCTTGATTGGCACCTCATACACCATCCTTAACACCAACCCCTTCAGCATTGACACAGAGTGGCAGCAGTGTGTATCATATACAATGTGCACTGCAGCAACGAGTGAAATCTCCTTTTGACAGCACCTTCCAAACCTGCAAACTCTCCGGCTAAAAAGGGGCAGCAGGTACATGAGAAAACCACCAACTATTCATCCAAGTTCACCTCCATACCACGCACCATCCTCGTTTTGAACTATTTTGCTAATTCTTCACTGTTATTGGTCCAAAATCCTGTAAGTCCCTTCCTACCAGCAACATGGCGCACCTACAGATTATGGAGTGCAGTTGTTCAAGGCAGCTGCTCTCTTCCACCTTCTCAAGAACAATTAAACTGATCAAGGTAATGATGTCCCATCCCGTGAACACATTTAAAAAAACTGTCTCTATCATCCATAAATGGATTCAAAATTAGCAATTACTATTATACTTTGAAAGTGATTGAATGGAAGAAGTAATGAAACATTTCATGCGTTCTGCAAATATTTTGTGTTATGAACAAAGATACTCAATAATCCAGCCTGCTGCATGTCTGCCAATTGGTTTCTCCTGAACAAAGACAATAGTGTCCTGGTTAACATCAAAACCTGTGAATGAAATGCAAGGAATAGATTGCAATGCCTCACCTATTTGTAAAGACTTTGCTGTAGTTGTAAACTTGGATCTCCAAAATCTCATTTCCATCAATGTTACTGGCAATAGGCCATTGGAAAGTCTGTGAATAACAAAGAGGGATTAAAATTAGTCTGGCTTGTCTTAATATTTCCATTTATCTGGCTATGAAAGGAAAATGATGAGCATTAGATTATGAGCAATTAAAATCCAGGATTTTGATTAACTGAAGACAAGGTTATGGCACATGATAAATCTTCCTCTGATTCAGCTACAAAGTGCAATCATAATACAGTCAGAATAAAAAAAACACAAATTGTAAAGTTACCCACTCACATTTTATAGCTAACTGCAATTAATACCCCTTTGCAAACTCCTTATTGTTTTGTATTTTCTTTGAATCTCTTGATCCACTACGTGAAGCCCACAAACATTGACAAGGAGGTTGCATTCTGATTATAGATCCTAAAAATTAACTTTACAAGCAGAATCTAATAGGGACCTAGACAATGTGGGTCTATGGCAAGAAATCTGGAAGAATCGAGTGGGAAGTCCAGTGAGGCAGTTCTTGACATTTGTTGGCATTTTCAAACAAAGTTCCAGGTGTCAAGATGAGATTCTTCTGAGGAAATGGCAAAATGCCTACTAATGGGGAATATTAATTGAAATTGATCTCAATGACAACAGGGGAGGTGATGGCCAGTGTATTATCATCATCGGACTGTTAATCCAGACACAAATTATGCTGCCCAGGTTCGAATTGCTGCCATGGTAGATGGTGAAATTTGCATTTGAAAAAAAATCTGGAATTAAAAGTGTAATGATGTCCATGAATCCATTGTCAATTGCTAGAAAAACCCATCTAGTTCACTAATGTCCTTTAGGGAAGGAAACTGCCATTCTTACCTGGTCTGGCCTACATGTGACTCCAGACCCACAGCAATATGGCTGACTCTCAACTGCCCTCTGGGTAATTAGGGATGGGCTGTAAATGCTGGCCTAACCAGCGATGCCCTCATCCTGTGAATGAATAAAAGAAAAACAACATGCCCATGCCCTTGATAGAAAGCTGCTAATGAGTATGATGATCAGCCTGGCTTTCTGTCTGCATTGAACACCAAGGCATGACAGACCGATTAAAAGACTTTAAGGACAGGCTGAGGGGTCAAAACACAAAAAGCAAAACTAGGCAGAGATGGTGTGAGCATCCAGGTATGTGCAAAGTGACATTTTAAAAAAACTTTTGGACAGGTACATGGATGGGAAGGGTTTAGGGAGATATGGACCAAATGCAGGCATTTGGAGCTAGCAAATGGGCAGCAAGGTCAGCATGGACCAGCTTGGGCTGAAGGGCCTGTTTTCATGCTGTATTACTCTATGACCCTATCTTCGCGTTATACTTAACATGCATGTAGTCCCTCTATCCAATTTATTTATACAGATTGTAAATACTTGAAGTCCAAGCACTGGTCCTTGTGACATTTCATGAGTTACAGCTTGTCAACTCAAAAAAAGATTAATTTATCCGTATTCTTTTCTTCCTGCTAGCTAACTCGTCCTTTGTTGATGCTAATATGTTACCCCTTACACCTTTGTTGAGACATCTTATCAAATGCCTTTGATATTACACTACATCTACTGGTTCCCTTTATTCCCCTCTTTGTAACTTCTCCAAAAAAACTCTCGCTGAGAGCTGTTGGGCAGGAAAACCAGCCACAAGACTGAAATAACGCCACAAAGGCTGGTATCCCATCACCAAGCCACCCTTTATTTACACATGGAAAGTCCTTGACGCTGATCCAGCTTCCTCAGAGCCAGCTCTCAGAGTGAGCAGAACCCCTGACACTCCTGTTTATATCTGTCAGCCAGGGCTCACTGATTGGGCCAGGTTAACAGCTCCAATCAGGGAACTCATATACTGTGATATCCACCTGGCCGACCTTGTTACAATCACACCAAAGACAGTAGCAGCAGTGTCTACCATTGACAAGACGCACTGCAGTAACTCACACAGATTCCTCAGACAGCATCTTCCAACCCGTGACCTCTGCCTCACTGAAAGACAAGGGCAGCAGAAACATGGGAATAGAACCACCTGCAAGTTCCCCTCCAAGCCACACATCACCCTGACTCGGAACGATATCACTATTCCTTCACTGTCATTGGGTCAAAATCCTGGAGCTCCCTTCCAACTGCTCTATGGTGTATCTAAACTTAGAGGTTCAAGAAAGCAGCTCATCACTACCTTCTCGAGAACAATTAGGGACAGCCATCAATGCCCACAACTTATACAGCGGTAAAATGAGGCACTCGTGAGAGTTTGTGTCCTGTTGTTGTGACGAAAGACGATGGTTGAAGCTTCAAAATGAGGGAGGGAGGGATACAGTATTTTTATATCACATCAATGAGGAGAAGTCTTGATTGGTAGAACAAAGACCAAAGGCTTCATTCAGAGATTGGACTAGGTAAAATACTCCTTTACCTCATGGTCCACAGGCTGCAATAAAAAGTACTAATTTGCTGGAAACAGAAACAGTTACCCCCAGTTTTGTGAGCCTTATAGCAGAGAGGGTAAATGAAAGATTTGACATAATGTGGAACACACTGTCTGAGTGATAGAGACAAATTCAGTAATAATTTTTAAAAGGCAATGGATGAATACTTGAAAGAAAAGAAAACCTTACCTTCATAGAATCATGGAGACATACAGCACAGGAACAGACCCTTTGGTCCAACTCGTCCATGCCGACCAGATATCCTAAATAAAGCTAGTCCCATTTGCCAGTATTTGGCCCATAGCCCTCTAAACCCTTCCTATTCATATGCTCATCCAGATGCCTTTTAAATGTTGTAATTGTACCAGCTTCCACCACTTCCTCTGGCAGCTCATTCCATACATGCACCACCCTCTGTGAAAAAGTTGCCTCTTAGGTCCTTTTTATATCTTTCCCCTGTCACCGAAAACCTATGCCCTCTAGTTTTGGACTCCTGTACCCTGGAAAAAGACCTTAGCTATTCACCCTGTCCGTGCCTCTCATGATTTTAAAACCTCTATAACATCACCGTTCAACCTCGTCCAGTCTATTCGGCCTCTCCCTGTAGCTCAAACCGTCCAACCCCGGCAACATCCTTGTAAATCTTTTCTGAACCCTTTCAAGTTTAACAGTATCTTTCCTATAGCAGGGAGACCAGAATTGAACGCAGTATTCCAAAAGAAATTCACAAAAGTGTCCTCACCAATGTCTTGAACAGCTGCAACATGCCATCCCAATTCCTATACCCAATGCACTGACCAATAAACGCCTTCTCACTATCCTGTCTACCTGTGGCTCCACCTTGAAGGAACTATGAAACTGCAATCCAAGGTGTCTTTGTTCAGAAACACTCCCCAGGATCTTACTATTTAGTGTATAAGTCCTGCCCTGATTTGCCTCACTGAAATGCAGCACCTCACAATTATCTAAATTAAACTCCGTTTGCTACTCCCTAGCCCATTGGATAAGGTCCTGGTGTACTCTGAGATAACCTTCTTCACTCTCCATTACACCACCATTACAGTTTGATGAGGAAAGGACAGGGGAATGGAACTAAGTGGATGGTTCTTTTAAACAGCCAGCACAGGCAGGACTGACTGATTGATCTCCTTCTGGGAATCCAGATTATTCACATTGAGCTTTGAGTCTAATAAGACCGCTACATCTCATTTAGTTGCATCCTTACATAATTCAACACAATCCATCATGCATGCTTCCTCGTTATTTTACTGGCAGACAGTGTTTAATTGCATGTTGTTGTTGATGAACTTTCCATTACGTTTCATTTCCATGGGCAATACATTTACATTTGTGTACATCAAATGTCATCAAACATTATTCACTCTGAATTCCCATAGCGTTCTGCTTAATGAGTCAGCTTTCACATGAAATTTTTTCAAATGCTTTTTGGAAGTTTAGGTGGATTTGTTAGTTAATAAACGCTCATAATGTTTAGCATTGCAATTCAGATCGGCTTTGTTTATAGGCTAAGCAATGAGAAGCCATGGCTTAGAGGAATGTAATGGCACATCGCTTGACTTGCTGTAAATAGTCATCAAAGTCATCTCCTTTTCTCATTCTCAAATTGGGTGTATTTGGAGCTGTTCAAATTTTTAAATTAATAATATAGAATGAGAAAGCCACTATTCTTGAAAGCAATAATTTGGGGTCACTTTGCTGAACATTTAAAAATAACTTTCAAAACATGTGAATTCAAATGTAACTTGACAGTGGTTAGTGCTCAGGGTCATAGCCAGGCTATTGCAAGGAATGCGCTATGTTAAGCTAACAATCTCTTGTAGACTATTCATGTTTAGAACACAACAAATCAGGACAGATCTTTGATTCATCTTTGGACCAACACTGTCATGAGGTCAGGGGGTGGGTGGGCCTGTTGAAACCCAAGCTGAGTATCTGTAAGCAGGTTATTATGAGTATATGAGACACTTTTCATTACTTTGCTGATAATCGAGAGTTGACTGATGTGACAGCAAATGGCTGATTTTTGTGCACCAGACAACTCTAAAAATTGCCTGCACTGCCTGCAGTGAGCCAGCCCCTTAACCTTCCTTCTAAGTCCCCTGTTCCCCACTCCTCATCACTTCAAAGCTGAAAAAGCCTCCAAGCCCACATCACTTCCTGTGGTCCTGGGACCTTCACAATCCTGAGACTGTGGGGTTTTGGGGGAGGGGGTGAGAGATGGTACTCTGGGTTCTGGGGTGTGGGAGGTGGGACCCTGCAGTTTTGGGGGGTGGGAGGTGGGGCAGGGTTTTGTGATGGGTCGTGGAACAAACAGCCATGGCTTCCTTTGAAACACTGCTTCTGTTTGATGTGGTTGGTGGGGCATCATATGTGGGGAACTGGGGCAGGTTGTGGCTTCGTGAGATCTCCTCCACATCTGTCATACATTGAGCTCTCCTGGAAGGGTCAGCTGAGTGGGGGCGGTTCCTGCAGCTTTCCCCCTTTTGTTGCTGAATGTGGGACTTTTTCGATGGCATCAGAGTTCCTGCCTCTGGTGCTCCCAGAACGCTAACATGATAGATGTATCCATCCAGGTACCAAAGGTTCC